TAAAGGTTCTCTGATGCTGCACATTGGCGTCCACTGCTGAAATACAAAATTTGGGATAATATTTTAGGAATTGTTTTTTCTAGTAAAGTTTTTAAGAAGACAAAAAATATACTCCTAAATCTAATCACAGTATGTCTTTAATTGTGTGCATAGTTTAATTGGTGCTAGAAATACCATGACTTGCAAAGCAATTTACAGTGTCACTCAATTTTGTTACTTTTGGTTAGTCACATATTATACTTGCACATTTTTTTTCTTTTTCCATGTGAATAAAATAACTCTTTGAATTAAGTGCATAAAATCCCAGTGGTATTCTATGGTGAAGTAATTTGCTGCTCATCTGACTCCTTTTCTGCTTTAAAACCATAATAGTAAAATAGCTAAGGATGTAGCTTACTGTATGTAGATGAACATTTGCCTTAATGGGTGCAGAAAAGCAGTGATAATTACTGTGCTTTGATTTTTAACGCAGGGGTTAAGCCCTAAAAAATAATAATAATAAAAAAGCCAAATATATATTTCCCTTCAAACAGCTGGAAATAAACAGCCCTGCACTTTCCATATAGATGCCTTGGTTTTCTAGAATGGAGCTTGTTGCTACTGTGTATCTGGCTTCAGAGCCACCTGAGGAAGTTGTTTTGTTTTGTTTTTCCTTTTTTCCCCTCCAATATTTTCCTCTCTACTCTTTTTTTTTTCTTTTTCCTCTTTCCTCTTTTCATTTTTGCTTTTCTCTCTTTCTTCCTTTCCTCTGTTCTTTTTTCCTTTTTTTTCTTTCTATTTATTTATAAAGATGAATGTTTACATAAAATGTAGGTCTTGATTTTGACCACTCCATTTAGGTTATTTTTGAAAATGCTTCATTTAAAAGGAGGCAGTCTCCTGTTTAAATTGCATTTTACAAAACTCATTCTTAGTATTTTTCATGTGTATTACAAGGTAATTTTTTTCATCCTGTTTACATGTGCCCAAGTTAATTATATTTTCTTCCTAGTTTAAATTTGCAACTGTATTGTAATGTCTTGTATGATTATTTAGTGAAATGATCCAAATTGCCAAGTTTTATGATGATAATCTTGCTAAGGTAGTGCCCTAGTAGTTTTTCCAAATAGGCATGTTGGCCATTTTCTTCTATGTTTAATCAAAGTTCTGTAATTTTTCACTTGCTTCCCCTTCATCTGTCTCTGTACATTAGTTTACTAATTAGCTTTGTGCCCTTTGCAAAGGCAGGTTCAACATACTGTAAAGTGTATATTTAATGAACAGATGTGCTGTAAGGAAACCTGCACAATTTTAAAGGGTTGTCTTGTACATATGTTCTATAAATCATGAGGTAAATGGTTCATGATTTTCAGCTCACAAATGTAGTCTGTTAGAAGAGCATCATGCAATGATTTTAGTATATGTTTAGTTCATATGATTAGTAGTGTTCTAATTACTCATATAGGTTAAATTCACTATGAAGTACAGTGAAAATATGTGAAATATTTTGTTTATACCAAAAGTAATTTATTTTACAGCAAACTGAACTAGAGGCACACAGCTTTGAGTCAATGTAAAAGCAGTGCTATAAATACAAAGCAAATTTTCTTAGTAATTTTAAATTGATTTTTATTTTGTATTTTTTAGTGAAATCAAACTTTAGAAAATTTTTAGTTGTCATTGAAATTAATCTGAAGACACTTTCATATTGAATTTAGTATCTTGGAATAATGAGTTAATTTGGAGTAATCGAGACTTTTCTAAGTAATGTTTTATTGGCAAGAGAAGACACCTTATTTGTAGGGTTTTATTTTCTGTTGTTGCTGATGCGCTTCTGTGCAAATGTGTCTTCCAGGGCTCAGCCCCGTTCGCTGAACCG